ATAAAGATCGCATCAATGGTTAGACAAGAGTAAGAGAAAAGACGAACTCCAAACCTTCTAACCACCAAAAATCGATTAGAGCAAGCAACAAAGATGGTACAGCAAAGCTGGAAAAAATTCAGAACTGAAGCAAGCCAAAAGAATCACAATGCCATGTCGGTGACGGCAACTTTGATAGCAAGGAATGATGGGAGGAGCGACGAACCATAGGAGGGAGAGTGGAGGGTTAGGGTTTAAAGTTCATGAGTCATTCCCTCAGTTACTCCTTTCTCTCGTCGAAGTGAAAGCACCGGAAGAGGGGGGAAAAATAACGCAACAATCTCTCTATTTTTTTTAATAAAGGTATTTAAGTAATTTTCCTATAAAACTGAGCAAAAATATATTCTCCTTTAAACAAGGCTGAAGTTTGAACCTGGAATCTCTAACCTCCTTCGCAACCTTTGTTACCATCTATCTCCAAGTTCCGTTCAATACTCAAGCTACAACAATTAATATAAGTATTAATTAATTAATTATGAAAATTTCAAGATATTACAACAGTAGTGGCCACCAAAGGTCCAACCTCTGGCGGCGGCCACCTGAGCATCAGTGGCCAGAACTCTAGCGACCATTAATATTTATTTTTTAAAAAAATAAAAGTGAGGGGTATTACTGTAATCTTACTCTTAGTTTTAATTTCAGTTTAGTCCCTTGGTCCTACAGTGATATTTCAGAATGTTTTGGAGGTTGACTGTTATAAATTCTCACCCTGTGGTCTTTAAATAAAATTTTCTCTTAAAAATATGCAGTAAATGAATACTTTGAAAAGTTTTTTTTTCCCCCACCTCTAGCCGGAACCCTTTTGGGGCTTTTAGGTGGTTTAATCCAAACAAAAAGTGCAAGGGCAACCAAAACAAGCAATACTCCTCCAACAAATCCACCAATGATAGGCCTTAATGCTCGAACCTGCAAGCCAAGAAAATCGTCTTATCAAACCAAAATGACATGAGATAAGTGTAACATAAAAACTAAACAAAAGAAACTTATATAATTGTACACTTAAATCTTCAAATGAACCATACCTTGTTTATAAATGGGAGTGACGTCAACGATCTGGTAATTATCAGGAAAGAATGAGGTTGTGGAGTATCTCATGAAACAGCCCTGATCAAAAGCTCGACCATCTGAAGTAGGAAGACAAGTCTGCATATTTCTGTATGCAACATTTAAGCAACTGAGGCATCCACTTTGTGTGATAGTTTCTGTGCACTGCACAAAGGCATACATAGTTGAACCATTATTATCAAGTACTTGTGTCTTCGTGGCTGCCATAAAGCCAGGAATTGTTGGTGTTTCTCTTTGGAGATTCATCAGCAGTTTTTGCGCAGCTGACTTAAAGGCAGTGGCTTCTCCTGTAGTTTTATTCCCACATAATGCAGCATTGAAAGTATCCGTCGCCCGGTCAAAGAAAGGACTCGCATCATACCTCAAAATACCAAAAAATTTCCCATGCATATATATCAGTTTTCCAAGTTCAATATGGATTTTGCAATTTGTGTATATAGAGAAACCCCTTGTGAACATCTGGATTTCTTTTGATATGCTAGAAAAATATATTAATTAATAATCACTGCAAAAAAAGAAATTGACTATTATGTCTCCGCTAAAAGTATAAAAGTCATCATTAAAAGTTTTCGGCAGCTCTAAGTTGCAGCGTTGTCACTGTCCAATATCGTTGCCATAACAGTTATAGCTAAAAGGTTTTAACAGTGACCAAAAAAAGTTACTGCTGAAACTAAACTTAAAAGGTCACTGCTAAAAATCATGGCCAATATTCTTATTTTTTATAGCCAATGTTTTAGAATTTGTAAGATAACCAAATAAAAAGCACTCTAATTCATAAAAGTTTAAATCTTGAAAAACATATTTATTGAGAGGGTTTTAACCTTAATGCTTTTGGTTTAATAATAAAAATTAGTTCCAAACCCAAAGTGATTTAAGGTTATCTGAGTTATACACAAAATATGTACTCTGATTCACTTGTAAGTTTTAGAAACTAACTTACTCTAGTTTTATGCAGCTCAAAAAAAAAAAAAGAACTTATACTAGTTTTAAATAATTGTGATATTTAAATGATTAAATATTAAAATATAAATATTTTAGTAAAAATAGTTTTTAAATAGTTGCTGTCACTGATGACAACCTGCTAGTAGGGGTCCAATGACCATCTAGTCGCCGGCCTATGACAGTCTGAGTCAAGTGATTAGTGAACTATCGACCAATCAAAGTTGGTTTTGGGGTCTTGCAGAAGTATTCTGACTATTTCACATATACTATGTGCATAATGACATTCAAATCCCCTAGATCTTACTATAGTTTAACAACTTTATTGGGTTTATTAGTTATTAAGTCCCATATGCAAGACCTGTTTATCATTTTTTTCCCTTTTGATGAACTCCATCATGCCACATCATCATTATAGAGACTAGCACAAGAAAGCATAGGAATGAACCTCTACCGGAAAATTGATGTAAAGCATGAGGAAATGGATTGCTTTCCCTTTTTGAAATTATCTTTTTCTTCAAATAAGTTTTTTGTAATAAGAAAGATACTGTTTTTCTTTTTGTCAAGGAGCTCACGCGCCCATTATAAAGTCCCACCCGCAACATCTTATTTAAATTAAGGGAGTGATTGGATAAAAATAAAGTCATGATAATCTTACACTATACTATGTAAGAATGATTTTATCTCAATTTGCGTGAAAATGGTTTTAAAAAAACACTTTCGGGAGAAACCAGACACCCTGAGAACATAAAAGAGATATTTTCTGTCAATTAAGGTGACTCATCAAAAGATATTGGATACTTAGACATAAATGAAGTCTGAATTTGTGTGTGTTAAGTTTTATTTTGAGATATTATCTCCAAAACTACACCTTGGGTAAACTAATAACGTCACAATAAATATCTTATTTTTTAGGTGCCCTACTAAGAAAAGAACTAGTTGAACCTTGTGGAGTAGTTTTATGTACCTGAGGAAGCAGCCGTAGTAAACGGCATGGCCACCAGGGGCGCCGGCCGGGCAGCTCCGGACTTTGACGGCGGCTACATCAAAGGACGCTACACAGTAGGCGATGGAAAGGTAGTTTCTGCACTGAAAAAGTGTGGACACAGGGCTCCCTCCACCACTTTCCTAAACCGTAACGAAATGCTTGTTTTGGTCTCTAACCTGTTCTCTGATGTCTCGAAACGTTGCGTTTAGGTTGTCCTTGAAGACAGACAAGTCGGAAACGAGGAAGCGGTCGAATGGGGTGCAGCCGATGGTAACAAGATGAGTCTGTGGGTCTGAAACGACGGCGTCAATAGCACAGAATGACCAGAATGTGAAAATGAACAAGGTAAGGAGATAAGAATGTTGAAGCATGTTTGATTGAGAGGAAGAAGATGAAGAAAGAAAGAGAGATCAATGGGCCCTTGCTTCAATGGAGTACGAGGATAATAACGAAATAAAAGGAGCATCATGGTGTTTGAAATAGACCGCAACATTGTATTTTTAAAATTATACTCCTCCGGTCCTTAATATAGGACCCAATTCTTGAGTTGGTTTTGGTCCTAAATATAAGACTTATTTATCATATGTATCAATTTTCTCTAAATTACCCCTATAGATACTCTCTCAACCATAATCAAGTAAAAGAGGGAGATGAGGTATTAAGAAAGATGATTGTGGTGTTTTAGGAAAAATGTGTCATATTTCTTATAATTAACTAACTTATCTAACTTCCTTAATCTAATCAAATTAGTTAAATGACTCTTATATTAAGGACCGGAGGAGTATCTCTTGAAGCGTGACGGTGAGGTTATGGAAAACTGAGTTTTTTTTTTTTGGGGTGAGAAAATCACTGTAAGATTTTGAGGAAGAAATGTAATCAGCAAATTAAATGTCTTATGTAATGACAAGTTCCGGTGTTGTGTATATAGGAACTTGTCCCCAGGTTAAAAGGAGCTGACCGTGGCTGTTGGATCAACATTGTTTTTGAAACAAGACGATATACCATCTCTAACACTTACTATTAGAAGTTAGATAATTAATTTGTGAATACTAAAAGAAAATTAGTTAGGTTAGTTATTTATAATAAATGAATATTTTTTTAAAATACTCTTATTAATTATGTATATTGAAACTAGCTACCACTTGATGAAAATTCCTAATAATATACAATTACCATATTGATTATTTTTATATTAAGTAGTGGAAGTAGTTTTTTTTTTTCCCCTTTGCTGGCCTTAGGTAGTGTCTTTTTAAGCTTGGACGGTATAGAAATTGATATAGTCAGAATGTAATAATTCCTTTAGAAAAAAATATTTAATTTTCAAAACATCCAACACCATCTTCTTTACGTAATAGAAGTATAGCGTGGAGGTTGACTACTGATTATCTGTGGTTTGACTGTAAACAACAAAATATTTCATATAAATGTAAACAAATATCTTTCATGAAAAGATTAAATCTAATAAATTAAACACTGGCATTTATAGACATGAATCTAATAAGGAGATTATGTTGAAGCATCTTATGTTTGATGAGATTGGTTCCAAAGATTCATGTGGAGGTTAGCCAAAGGAAGACATCATGTTTGAAAAAGGCCAAGACAATGTTGGGGTTTTAACACATATTTCTCATGGTTGATCATTTAAGAAGTTACTTAACTTCTCTCGCATACAAAAAAAAAAAAAGAAGAAGAAGAAAGTTTAGTCATGTGTCCTAAAATGATAAAGTTTTTTAAAAATGATAAAATTGCTTATAATGTTACACTTTTGTTATCTCTCATCTTTCTTCACCTATAAAATAATTTAGACGCTAAATACACTATGCACCCTAAAGTATTTTGTAATATTAAATACACTTGAGAAAATATTTTGAAGTGTTGGAGGCACCTTAACTCTTAAATTTATTATAAAATTTAAGTTACTTCTAATATTATTATCATTATTAACTATAACAAATTTCAGTGTCGTATTAATTTCTATTCTCTTACTACACTAGTTAAATATGGGCATATATAGAAAAATATTATTTAATGCCCATTAAAGCTTTCAAATGATCTTATAAAAAGACAAAAATGTTCTTTTAGAATAACTGTTATAATAAGCACCAGAATGAGTAGATATACCACCCAAGTCTTAAACGTACTACCTCCGGTCCTAACTAAACGAGGTATCATTATTAGGACTAAAGGTTGTATTTTATTTGTAATATATGTAATGCTTATTTTTTAATTTTATTCTATTTAATTTTTGTTGGAAATAAAAAAAAGAATGAATATATATAAATGATTTGTGAATGAGAAGAGAAAACTTTTTTAATAATGATAATATTGAAAAGTTGTCAATTTGATTTTTTTGGGTGTCCAAAAATATGTTATAATGGAGGTAAACTCTTTCATATTAGAGGGTGTTTGGGTTACTTCAAAATCACTTTTCAAAAGCATTTTTCTACAAATTGACGCAAACTCCTCTGCATATTTACTTCATATATCGTAAAAATATTTTTGAAAATATAATTTTGATTTAACCCAAACACCTCTTAATATGAAAAAGTTTATCTCGTTTTACGAAAAATTTTATAAAAAAATACTTTTTAAAATATTTTAAAGGGTTACCAAGCATCTCCTTAGTGTCAGACCGTTGTGCACGACTGCAGGGGAGCGCGTGACCGGCGTGAAACCCCTCCACTTAGGCACTCTGTCCATTTCCCTCCACTAACGCAAAACTATGTCGTTTCCCACCTCTCCACCAATCAGCTTCTTGTATTCCCCTCCACTTGGTCCAGCGACATCGTTTTGTAGTGGCCTGACCTTTAAAAAAAAAAATGACGCTTACTCAAACAAGAATAAAAATCAGAGATCTCTTCCAGTCTTCCTTCACTCATACTGACTGAGAAACAGCAATGGAGGAATAGAGAGAACGGCGCCGTCCATATATAGCCTCCGATGATTGCCTCTTTTTTGTTAAAGACTACTCAATTTGTAGTCTGATATTGTATAAATAAATAAATAACTCATGAGGCTTGTTATAATTGCCGTAGTGGACGGTGCCGTTCTCTCTATTCCTCCATTGCTGTTTCTCAGTTAGTATGGGTGGGAAGACTGGAAGAGATCACTGATTTTTTCTCTTGTTTGAGTAAGCGTCTTTTTTTTTTTTTTTAAGGTCAGGCCACTGCAAAACGATGTCGCTGGACCAAGTGGAGGGGAATACAAGAAGCTGATTGGTGGAGAGGTGGGAAACGACATAGTTTTGCGTTAGTGGAGGGAAACAGAGAGAATGCCTAAGTGGACGGTGCCGTTCTCTCTATTCCTCCATTGCTGTTTCTCAGTCAGTATGAGTGGGAAGACTGGAAGAGATCACTGATTTTTTCTCTGTTTGAGTAAGCGTCTTTTTTTTTTTTTTTTTAAGGTCAGGCCACTGCAAAACGATGTCGCTGGACCAAGTGGAGGGGAATACAAGAAGCTGATTGGTGGAGAGGTGGGAAACGACATAGTTTTGCGTTAGTGGAGGGAAACAGAGAGAATGCCTAAGTGGACGGTGTCGTTCTCTCTATTCCTCCATTGCTGTTTCTCAGTCAGTATGAGTGGGAAGACTGGAAGAGATCACTGATTTTTTCTCTTGTTTGAGTAAGCGTCTTTTTTTTTTTTTTTTTTAAGGTCAGGCCACTGCAAAACGATGTCGCTGGACCAAGTGGAGGGGAATACAAGAAGCTGATTGGTGGAGAGGTGGGAAACGACATAGTTTTGCGTTAGTGGAGGGAAACAGAGAGAATGCCTAAGTGGACGGTGCCGTTCTCTCTATTCCTCCATTGCTGTTTCTCAGTCAGTATGAGTGGGAAGACTGGAAGAGATCACTGATTTTTTCTCTTGTTTGAGTAAGCGTCTTTTTTTTTTTTTTTAAGGTCAGGCCACTGCAAAACGATGTCGCTGGACCAAGTGGAGGGGAATACAAGAAGCTGATTGGTGGAGAGGTGGGAAACGACATAGTTTTGCGTTAGTGGAGGGAAACAGAGAGAATGCCTAAGTGGACGGTGTCGTTCTCTCTATTCCTCCATTGCTGTTTCTCAGTCAGTATGAGTGGGAAGACTGGAAGAGATCACTGATTTTTCTCTTGTTTGAGTAAGCGTCTTTTTTTTTTTTTTTTAAAGGTCAGGCCACTGCAAAACGATGTCGCTGGACCAAGTGGAGGGGAATACAAGAAGCTGATTGGTGGAGAGGTGGGAAACGACATAGTTTTGCGTTAGTGGAGGGAAACAGAGAGAATGCCTAAGTGGACGGTGCCGTTCTCTCTATTCCTCCATTGCTGTTTCTCAGTCAGTATGAGTGGGAAGACTGGAAGAGATCACTGATTTTTTCTCTTGTTTGAGTAAGCGTCTTTTTTTTTTTTTTTTTAAGGTCAGGCCACTGCAAAACGATGTCGCTGGACCAAGTGGAGGGGAATACAAGAAGCTGATTGGTGGAGAGGTGGGAAACGACATAGTTTTGCGTTAGTGGAGGGAAACAGAGAGAATGCCTAAGTGGACGGTGTCGTTCTCTCTATTCCTCCATTGCTGTTTCTCAGTCAGTATGAGTGGGAAGACTGGAAGAGATCACTGATTTTTCTCTTGTTGAGTAAGCGTCTTTTTTTTTTTTTTTTTAAGGTCAGGCCACTGCAAAACGATGTCGCTGGACCAAGTGGAGGGGAATACAAGAAGCTGATTGGTGGAGAGGTGGGAAAACGACATAGTTTTGCGTTAGTGGAGGGAAACAGAGAGAATGCCTAAGTGGACGGTGCCGTTCTCTCTATTCCTCCATTGCTGTTTCTCAGTCAGTATGAGTGGGAAGACTGGAAGAGATCACTGATTTTTTCTCTTGTTTGAGTAAGCGTCTTTTTTTTTTTTTTTTTTTAAGGTCAGGCCACTGCAAAACGATGTCGCTGGACCAAGTGGAGGGGAATACAAGAAGCTGATTGGTGGAGAGGTGGGAAACGACATAGTTTTGCGTTAGTGGAGGGAAACAGAGAGAATGCCTAAGTGGACGGTGCCGTTCTCTCTATTCCTCCATTGCTGTTTCTCAGTCAGTATGAGTGGGAAGACTGGAAGAGATCACTGATTTTTCTCTTGTTTGAGTAAGCGTCTTTTTTTTTTTTTTTTTTAAGGTCAGGCCACTGCAAAACGATGTCGCTGGACCAAGTGGAGGGGAATACAAGAAGCTGATTGGTGGAGAGGTGGGAAACGACATAGTTTTGCGTTAGTGGAGGGAAACAGAGAGAATGCCTAAGTGGACGGTGCCGTCTCTCTATTCCTCCATTGCTGTTTCTCAGTCAGTATGAGTGGGAAGACTGGAAGAGATCACTGATTTTTCTCTTGTTTGAGTAAGCGTCTTTTTTTTTTTTTTTTTTAAGGTCAGGCCACTGCAAAACGATGTCGCTGGACCAAGTGGAGGGGAATACAAGAAGCTGATTGGTGGAGAGGTGGGGAAACGACATAGTTTTGCGTTAGTGGAGGGAAACAGAGAGAATGCCTAAGTGGACGGTGTCGTTCTCTCTATTCCTCCATTGCTGTTTCTCAGTCAGTATGAGTGGGAAGATTGGAAGAGATCACTGATTTTTTCTCTTGTTTGAGTAAGCGTCTTTTTTTTTTTTTTTTTTAAGGTCAGGCCACTGCAAAACGATGTCGCTGGACCAAGTGGAGGGGAATACAAGAAGCTGATTGGTGGAGAGGTGGGAAACGACATAGTTTTGCGTTAGTGGAGGGAAACAGAGAGAATGCCTAAGTGGAGAGGTTCCGCGCCGGTGCGCGACGGATGATAATGAAACATTGAAAATTATGGAAATTGTGACCCACACCACTCGGTTATGAATTGTGTGTGGGCCCATTGCCTTGTTGGCTTCATGGATCCGTCAGGACTCTGTCAGAGGGCGGCCTTGGAAGATCCAAGAGAAGACTGGAGATTTCCCACAATGACCCTACGCCCAAAATGGACGCCAATTCAAATTCACTCCAATGCTCCAAAAGTAAAGTCAAGGTAATGACCAACTGACCAATTGACCGTACTGGCGTTAGGAGTGTTGCAGACACAAAACAGATAAAAAAATGAAAAAAATGCCAAAAAAAACCTTTAAACTTTGAAAAATTTTAAATCATTCTTATTTACTACAATACATTTTTAGTAATTTCCAATTTTAAAATTTAAGAGATTTTTTAAAAAATTTTGGAAAAATATATTTGCCAGTCCTTATAGTTTGAGTAGATTTTGAATTGGGTCCCTATAGTTTTATTTCTTTTTATTGGATCCTTGTAGTTAATTTTGTTAAATTCATCGGTCCTTCTTCTGTTAGTAAAAGTTGCAATTGCCGTAAATGTAAAGTGGCATAGGGTGATGTGGTACTCTCTCACCCAAGTATGTATGTGGCTCCCTTTATCATCTGTCTCTCTCATCTCTCCAAGCTAACCACGGCAAGTTCCATGGCGCCCAGATTTTCCCAACTCACAAGCTAAACTGAATCCCATATTTCCGCAAATCAAAAGTTGTGTTCTTCGTGAGCCCAACCATGGCGTGCTCTGAAGCTTTATAAGCATGAGGACCTAGTCCTCCCAAGAGTCTCGCGATGCTCGACATCGATATTATGCGCCCGTATCGCCTGGGTATCATCACTCTACCGCATGTTTGATTCCGAGAGCTACACCCTTCATGTTCACTCACATGACTCTGTTGAACTCATCGGTATCGAATTTGACAATCTTTTGTTCTTTGATTGATTCCCTAACACTTCGACATTGCCAAAGATTATATCGAGCTGGTCGTACCAAGAGATTGTGGATTTCAGTAACTTTTCCATGTCTTCATTGGACAGTGGAAGAAGTGGCTGACAGAGATAATGCCTCTACAAGTAGAGATCCATGTGCGTCTTCAACATTGGCAATTAGAACTTTCGCTCCTTCCTTCACGAACAGCCTTACCATTGCTTCCCCTATTCCTCTCGTTCCTCCGATCACTGTGGCCACTTTTCCTTCTAATCTGTAGAAAAATACAAGATTTATGCAGAGATTTTTAGTTCATTCTCTTGTTTCTATTTCGCGATGCTTGAAACAGGGAAAAACAGAGCATGTATGAACAAAGAGAAGAAATGAAAGGAATACCTCATAGCTGGAGAGAAAGTGTGGTCCTTTGCCATGAGAGAGACACCCTAAAGATTTGGCTTTGGCACTACCTCGGCAACAATCATGGCTGACCTCTTCAATGGAGTTTCTTGCAATTACGACCTCATAGACGCAGAGAGAGAGAGAGAGAGAGAGAGAGAGAAAAGATGGTAAGTGCTTGGAAGTTTTGGTTCAATTAAGGAGCGCCAGGTTCGATAATGTGACTTGATGGGAGACACCAAGGCAAAATTTGAACTGTGCAAGTTCTTGGAAGTTGGCACAACAAGCGAAGTATAGGGAATGTTAACGAGGGACTTTGTCTGTCTTTATTTAAAAGTTTTTCAATATCCTCAGACTTCTAAACTAATAAATTTTAAACAAATAACCAGCAACTTGAGGGAGTCCTTCTTCATTCCTTTTGGGTGTTGTTAGCTTGGTGAGATGAGAAAGGCAGATGGTAGAGAGAGCAGTAAACTTGGGTGTGAGAGAGAGTGCCAGATCACACTCTATCCCTTCACATTAACGACGTTTGCAATCTTTGGTAATGGAAGGATCGATCAATTTAACAAAATTAACTATAAGGATTCAATAAAAAGAAATAAATTATAGGAACCTAATTCAAAATCTACTCAAACTATAAGGACTGGCAAATATATTTTTCCAAAAATTTTTGCTAAATAATTAAATACCCATTCTCTAGGAGGGAGATCATGGGATCAAAGCTGTGCCGTATGCTTGTGTGTAAGTATATTAAAAATTACTAATACTAATTTATCTATGTATTGAAAAAAAATAACATTAATTCTATCTTCAAATTTAATAACTTTTTAATTTTACCCTTGTTTAATATATACACACACTTTTCTAAGTAAATATATTATGTGTAAAAGTTATATTCACATAATAAGTTTAATGAAATGGCTTGAATTAATTAAGGACCAAAGAAAATACTCTCTCCTTATACTAGAAATAAAATTAGAGGAGTAATTGATTCATTATAATTAATGTAGTATTAACTTTTATCAAGAAGATTGTTTAGAAAACTTTAATACAAATTGTTTACGTATTTCATAATATAACTACCTTTTATCTACTTCCTTTATTTCTTAATATAAAAGTTAAATAATTAGTTTGAAGATATTAAAAAAATTAGTTAAGTTGGTTAATTTTTACAAAAATATATTGGTGTTTATAAACTATCTTCTTCAATCATATGTATTGAATGATTGAAATAATTTCTTGGTAGGAACCCTTTGCAATCAATATGAATCATGCTGAGTAAAATTCTCTCCTTTCTTTTCCTCTTCTTCTGAGCTCTATGCACATTAAAAGAATAAAATATGAATATAATTAATTTATATTGTTTTTATTAAATACTACTGACATGAATGAAATAATATTTCGAGGGCATCTTATAATTTTTCGTCATGATCACCTGGGCCAAATGGTTTTTTCAAGTAAATGAGAAACAAGTCGGAAACGACGAAGCGGTCGAATGGCGTGCAGCCAATGGTAAGAAGATGAGCATGTGGGTCTGAAACGACGCCGTGAAGAGCACAGCGTGACCAGAATGTGAAAATGAACAAGGTAAGGAGATAAGAATGTTGAAGCATGTTTGATTGAGAGGAAGAAGATGAAGAAAGAAAGAGGTCAATGGGCCCTTGCTTCAATGGAGTATGAGGATAATAACGAAATAAAAGGAGTATCATGGTGTTTGAAATAGACCGCAACATTATATTTTCAAAATTATATCTCTTGAAACGTCATGGTGATGGTGAGGCTATGGAAAACTGAGTTTTTTTTCTTTTTGTTAGAAGAAATGTAATCGACAAATTCAATGTCCTACACCGGATAAATATTATGACAAGTTTTGGTGTTGTGCATAGGAGCTTGTCCATACGTTAAAAGAAGCTGACCGTAGCTGTTGGATCAATATTGTTTTTGAAACAAGACGATATACTATCTTAATATTATTACTACTCCGGTCCTAAATATAAGACCTATTTTATAATGTAATTTTCCTGTTCTAAATATAAGACCCATTTTATAGTGTAAATTGCACTACAAAATAGGTCTTATATTTAGGACTGAAGGAATATAAAAGCAAGATAACTAATTTTTAAATATTAAAAAAATTAGTTAAGTTAGTTATTTATAATCAATAAATATTTTTTCTTAAAATATTCTTATTAACCATGTGTATTGTAACTAGCTACCTCTTAATGAAAATTCCTAATAATATGCCATTACCATACTAACTATTTGGGGGCAAAATAGATAAATATTATCGACGAAATAGATTAAAATCTTATATTTAGAACTAAATTGAATATTTAATTAGTTTTTATAATAAGTACCGAAAGTAGTTTTTTTTTGCCGGCCGTAGGTAGTGCTCCGGTCTCAAATATAAAACCCATTTTGTAGTGTAAATTATACTACAAAATAGGTTTTATATTTAGCACTGAACTAGTATCTTTTTAAGCTTGGACGATATAGAAATTGATATAACCAGAATATAATAATTTCTCTAGAAAAATATCCAACAGCATCTTCTTTACGTAATAGAAGTATAGCGTGGAGTTTGACTACCGATTATCTGTGGTTTGACTATAAACAACAAGATAGTTCATATAAATCTGAACAAATATCTTTCATGAAAAGATTAAATCTAATAAATTAACACACTCGCATTTATAGACATATGAATCTAATAAGGATATTATATACTGCTCTTGTTCTTAATATATGACCTAATTGTTGAGTTGATTTTGGTCCTAAATATAAGACCTATTTCTTATGTTTATCAATTTTTTTTAAATTATCCCTATAGATCTCCTTCAACCATAATCAAGTAGAAGAGGGGGAGAAAATATTAAGAAAGATGATTATTGTATTTTAGGAAAAACTAGTCATATTTTTTATAACTAACTAACTTACCTAATTTCCTTAATCTAATCAAATTAGTTAAATAGGTCTTATATTAAGGATCGGAGGAGTATGTTGAAATATCTTATGTTTGATGAAATTGGTTCCAAAGATTTATGTGGAGTTTAACCAAAGGAAGACATCATGTTTGAAAAAGGCCAAGATAATGTTGGGGCTTTAATGCATATATATTTCTTGTGGTTCATAATATAAGAGCTTAATTAACTTTTCTCACATACCAAAAAAAAAAATCAAAGTTTAGTCATTAAATGTGTCCTAAAATGATAAAATTTCTTAAAAATGATAAAGTTATTTTTAATGTTATACTTTTATTATTTCTTATCTTTCTCATCTCTCTCCTATATTTAATAGGGGTCAAACTAAAAAAATCACATTAGTTATCCAGATAACATCTTATATTTTGTACTCCATCCAGTTCAAAATACAAGTTAAACTTTATTTATTTATCTTTATAAAAAAAGAGTTAAAATCAGTTTAAAACAATAAATATGTAAGGCATATATTTTTTCTTCCAAATATGCCCTTATTAATGAAGAGAATAAGAAAAAAAAATGCAATAAATGAATCAAAGATGAAAGAGAATATATGAGGGTAAAATTAAAAAAACTCATTAAATGTTTAGACAAAAAGAAATATTATCTTACGTCCTCTAACAAAATTTAACTTATATTTTGAATCGGAGGGAGTATCACAGTTTTTTTCTAGCCAACACCTTATATTATAGACAGGAGGGAGTATCATTTAACGATGAAATAGACTTGGATATTTATTTTCAACTTTGTAAAGTGCTTAAGTGGAAGGGAGATACGCAAAAAGATAGCAAAAGAATATGAGATTATTCTTACACACACACACACACACTCTTACCTTTTCCTTAATATATAGAAAACACTATATGGTTTTTACATTCTATTAATTCTGGTAGTATTTTAATATAATTAAATTATATCAAAACAATGTTGCCAGACTAAAACACACATGAAAAATATTTTAGGTGCTGAATACACCACAAAATCTTTTGAGGTGTTGGATGCATCACATAAGATATTTTGGGATGTTGGATATACTTTAACCCTTAAATTTATTATAAAATTTAAGTGATTTCTAATATTACTGTCATTGTTAACTATAATAAATTTCAGCATCATATTAATTTCTATTCTCTTACTACACCAGATAATAATGGGCATATAGAGCATATTAATGCCCATTAAAACTATCAAATGGTCTTATAAAAAGACAAAAATTTCTTTTAGAATAACTGTTATAATAAGTGCCAGAAGGAGTATATATACCATTCTCGTCCTAAATGTACTATTTTCAGTCCTAGTTATAAACGAGGTCTTATAATTAAGATTGAAGGTAGTATTTCACATGTAATTTATTTAATACTTATTTTTATTTTTAATTTCATTTAATTTTTGTTGAAAACAAAAAATTGAATTTACATATATATATATATAAATGATTTGTGAATGTAAAGTGAAAACTTTTTTAATAATGATAATATTTGAAAAGTCGTCGACTCATATTAAATATCAGATCGGCCAGCAGAGCAGTGCGTGAAGGATGATAATGAAAGGTTGAAAATTATGGAAATTGTAACCCACACCACTCGGTTATGACTTGTGTGTGGGCCCATTGCCTTGCTGGCTTCATGAATCCATCAGAGGGCGGCCTTCGAAGTTGGAAGACCGCAAGGAAGACTTGGAAATTTCCCACAATGACCCTACGCACAAAATAGACGCCCCCAATCTAAATTCACTCTAAAATTGAAGTCAAGAAAACCAACTGACCAACTGACCATACTGGCCATTAGGAGTTTTATAGACACAAAATAGATAAATAATTGAAAAAATGCCAAAAAAATACCTTTAAAATTTAAAAATTTTTAAATCAGTATTATTTGCTATAACATATTTTTGTAGTAATTTTTAATTTAAGATTTTAAAATTTAAGAGATATTTTTTAAAAAAATTTTTACTAAATAATTAAATACCCATTCTCTAGGAGGAGAGATCATGGGATCAAAGCTGTGCTGTTTGTTTGTATGTAATTATATTAAAAATTACTATTACTAATTTATCTATGTATTGAAAAAAATAACATTAATTCTATCTTTAAATTTAATAACTTTTAATTTTATCTTATTTAAATATATATTTTTCTAAATAAATATATTATGTGTAAAAGTTATATTCACATAATAAATTTAATGAAATGGCTTGAATTAATTAAGGACCAAAGAAAATACTCTCTTTTTATACTATAAATAAAATTAGAGGAGTAATTGGTTCATTATAATTAATGTAGTATTAACTTTTATCAAGAACATTGTTTAGAAAACGCTAATACAAATTGTTTGCGTATGTCATTATATAACTACCTTTTAACTACTACCCTTACTCCTTAATATAAAGTTAAATAAATAGTTTGGAGATATTAAAAAAGTTAGTTAAGTTGGTTATTTTTACAAAAAAATATATTGGTATTCATAAACTATCTTCTTCAATCATATGTATTAGATGATTGTAATAATTCCTTGATGAGAATCCCTTGCAATTAATATGAATCATGCTGGCTAAAATTCTCTCCTTTCTTCCCCCTTATGAGGTTTATGCACATTAAAAAGAATAAAATATGAATATAATTAATTTATATTATTTTTATTAAATACTACTGATATGAATGAAATAGTGTTTCGACGGCATCTTATAATTTTTCGTCATGATCACCTGGGCCAAATGGTTTTTTCAAGTAAATGAGAAACAAAACGGAACCTTCGTTTTCTTTCTCTTTTTGACCAGGAGCCTTCGTTTTCTGTTCACAAACCTGTTACTATTGTATGAAGTCTAAGTTGGGGGAGAGACTTAGAAATTTCCAACTATGACTCACAGAAAAAACATATCAGCATTAACTTCTGCCCGTAATTAAAGGTCAAGTGATAATGATATTATATAGGCAAAAAAAGGACTATTATATAATATTTACTATATTTTTTATAAGAAAAAATATTTTAATAAACATGTATACACAAAAAAACACAGCCATTTTCCTTACCTTTCTACCAACTTGTGAGAATTTGATATTGCACAGAATTTAAGAAAATACGCCACATTTTTCATAATTTATATACCATTGTTTTTTTAATTTTATATTTATATAGAATATTTTCTGATATAAATATTAATAATTGGGAAGTTTAATCATCATGTGATGGACATTGGGGTAGTCGCTTTCGGTTGTCAAATAGGTGGTGGAGAACTACTGGAAACTATAAGCTAATTGACTCATTCTTACAATCATTTTATAATTGGATGCTTTTATTAGAGTTGATATATTTTCTTAATTTAATTTACACATTAAACTAAATTACCAACGTTTCAGAAGTCTTCGAAGATATGATGAAGATTATTACTCTATATATATATGTATAAAACTGAGGAAGAGAGATTATGAAGATGCAATCATAGCGGAAGACTGAGGACTTAGAAATGTGAAAGTTGACGTTGACTTTTGGATTAATAATGTATATTAAATAAAAGGCTGCAAAATGCAAATATATTAGTATTAGATATTACAATTTTAATTCAAGAAAATCTTTTCAAATGTGCTCCTCGAAAGTACTTTTTTGCGTTCTAAAATCAACGTGTCAATATATTATATACAAAACTGAAGTAAGTGCATGTTGTTATTTTATTTTTCATTTGATTTCCTTTTCTATTTTAAAAGATATCGATTTGTTTTTTCCCCAAATTTTTAAGTTTTTAAATTTATATGAAAGTTAAATAAGTGGGTATTATTTTTAGTAGCTTTACATTTATTGACTTTTTTTAATGCTAAATAACTAATTGGATTTTGTTAATTAAATGCTTGTACAGTTTTTTTTTTGGGGCTAAAAATTATATGCCCATGGAAATGCGCAGGATTTTCTTTTAAAGTTATAGAGTGAAGCGTAGCTTCCTTACGCTATCATTTTTCAGCTGCCTTTTATAGAATTTATGCAAAAGTGAATATTCTTTGTCTATCACTTTTAACTCGTTGTGGAAAAAATCTTAAAGGAAAAATGTGAAAAGTTATTGTGGGATGGAATGGTCATATTAAATTATTGATATTGTATGTTATCTCCTTATTTGATGTATACTCAGGCATATTTTTATTGACCACAATGATTGTTTGGATTATATCTTTATATATATATATATAGAGAGAGAGAGAGAGGGTGGGTGAGGGAAGTGCAAAAAGATACTCCTCCGGTCCTTAATATAAGATCCATTTAACTAATTTGATTAGATTAAGGAAGTTAAGTAAGTTAGTTAATTATAAGAAAAGTGACACATTTTTCCTAAAATACCATAATCATCTTTTTTAATATCTCCCTCTTCTATTGATTATGGTTGAGGGAGTATTATAGGGGTAATTTAGAGAAAATTGATAAATATGATAAATGGGTCTTATATTTAGGACCAAAACCAACTCAAGAATTGGGTCCTATATTAAGGACCGGAGGAGTATTTGGTGTTGAATAGAATAAAGGGTCAATGTGTAAATTTGCTCTTAAAGTTTTTCCTCTACTAGATGTTCAAAAGTTTTTTTGATGCAAATTTGTTCAAAAAGTTTAAAATTATAATAATATTACCCCACACTATTAAACAAAACTAACATTGATCATTAAAATAATGATATCAATGGTCAACATCTTAAAAATAGAGAGTAACATTACTATGATTTTAAACTCTCAAAACAAACTTGTACTAAAAAAACTTCCAGTACTTAGTACTTTTAAGTAAAAACTTTCAGAATAATTTGTACATTAATCCTAAAATAAATGAGGTAATATAATAAGAAATGATAAATCGAAACAGCTATAATTATCTTTTTTTTTTCCAAATAAAATTGAAAAACTCACAACTAATTTTCCCCTCAATATTCAACAAACAAATTCCACCAATGAGCTATTTGAAACCGTAATTTTATCTATAGTTCATAATTTATTTCTTTAATATAAATATAAATGATTAATTCGATTTCAAATAATCGAATATAGGCAAATATATGTTGATAATGAGCGAATTAAATAAATTCATTTTGGACTCAATTTCAACTTGGAATCATAGTGGAAGACTGAGTCAGAGAAGTTGACGTCTGTATTATTGGGAGACTTTAGCCTGCGCTATAAGGTACTGAAATAAATATATATATATATATATATTTTTTTTTGCTGGAAGGATAAGAGTACCCGTCGAGCGTCTAATGCATAATGAATAAAAGGCTACAAATATATTAGCATTAGATGTTATATCTCTTAATTAGGGTGTGATTATATGGAAGAAAATGGAATAAAATGAAATGATTGATACAAACTTAATTATGGTAAACTTTTTAAATAAAACAAACACAAGTAATTGTCTTTTTTTTTTTTTTGAACAACTCGTCCTATTTACCCA